AGAAATACCTTTTTTTATCTTTAATATAATTCCAATGACATTCAAATTGCCAATTGCTGTGATACGTTTCTTATCATAATTTGAATGACATTTAACCAGAAAATTGATAAAAATATTTCCGTTCTTGGCAGAACCAAGACATGGAAGCAATTAAGATAAATTTGATTGGACATTTTTAAATAGACCACGTGTCAGTGTCGTTTGCCCGCTGCACTCAATGTAAAAATTTATGTATGTGCGCAATGACTAAATTAACAAAGAGACCTCACCCAAAATGGGTCAACATTGTTCTAAGGCCAAGCCCCCTTTGCCCGTTTTCCCGATTTTCCTCTTCACTTTTTTTTTGCCCACAAAATAGGCAGCAACTGGTGGTGGCATGAATAGAAATGTTGGAAAATTTCTATGCTTCGCTTTGTAGTTACCAATTTTTTTTTATTCAAGGACAGTTTGAATACTATAATTTATAATAAATATATACTCTTGAACTTCTGGGGAACGTTAATAAGTATAAGAAATATATATGAAATAAAAGGCCTGGAATTTGATATTACTTTTTAAAATGTTTACAACTATCATATAGATAAAATTCATCAGAGTAATACTTTCTGTTCTAGATCGTTGACACTGAAGGTCATGTACTGTTAAGTTAAAGTTTTATAACTATATATAAGATATATAAGATATATAAGATATATAAGATATATAAGATATATAAGATATATAAGATATATAAGATATATAAGATATATAAGATATATAAGATATATAAGATATATAAGATATATAAGATATATAAGATATATAAGATATATAAGATATATAAGATATATAAGATATATAAGATATATAAGATATATAAGATATATAAGATATATAAGATATATAAGATATATAAGATATATAAGATATATAAGATATATAAGATATATAAGATATATAATATATAACATTATTCATTATAACATTTCTTTTTTAAATGCTTTTTACTATCCCAAATTTAAAACCAATCCGAGAAATACTTCCAAAGATAAGTCCTAAACATTTACTTTACTTTACCTTACTAGTTTTACCTGGCAAACTTTAAGTATTATATATTCTTTAGGTTATAAATTAAGCAATAAACAATTTACTTAATATACCCGATGCATTGAAATTTTAAATGCATATCAATAAATCAATAGAAATCGAAATCAAAAATCGATTTGGTTTTGGCCATCACAATTAAATTGGCGTCATTTTGGAATGTCCTAAAAACATTACAATTTTGACGCAAATTTAATGCTCAACTAGCCCTGAAAATTATTTAAATTACTCTATATATATATGTATATATGTTTATAAATGGAGTGCGCATACTTTGTATAATAAGTAAATATGTATTGTATATGGTCAGTGAACAGATTTTCCCCGTTCATGCCATCTGATGATGGGTTTTTAATGCGTGTTTAAATGGTTCGTTGAGTGAACCATTGCTGGCAGGCTGTCAACCGTGCCACTAAGTAGTATTTCAAATTTCCACCTGCCTTTGTCCATTGCACAATTTGCGTGTTGCATGCTGCATGTGCTGCATGTGTTGCATGTCATCTATTCATATGTCCATATGGAGGAAATCAACGGTTTATGGTGTGGGTGGATCTGTCTCCATCTGTCAGGTTTATTGATTTAATTTTCAATGCTTAGATTTACAGAACAAATAAGTAGTTATAAGTTCTAACAATTGGGGTTTTAAAGGCTTTTAAAATGCTTTTATAAAGGTTTTTGAAATGATTTTAAAGGTTTGTTATAAGTTTGTTTTCAGATTGTTTTACGAAAGTTTTAAGAATGTTTTGGGGATGGTTTAAAGATGGTTTTAAGTTCTTAATTAGTTGAGTTTTTGACAATTTTAAATTGTTTTTAGTTGGTTTAAAACGAACTGTTTGAAGTGGGGTTTACATTTGTTTTAGGTTAGTTTTAAGAGGTTTTTTAAGTTCAGTTTAAGTGAGATTTAAGTGGGATTTAAGTAGGTTTTAAGTAAGTTTTAAGTTGGTTTTAAGTGGTTTTTTATTTGGCTTCAAGATGCTTTAAGACGTTTAAAACTTACCTTTAGGTTGGTTTTAAGTTGGGTATAAAATTTAATTTAAGTTGGTTTTAAACTGGTTTTAAGAGCATTTTATGATGGCTTTAGGGTAATTCTTAAGTTACTCATAAGTTGGATTTATAATACTTTTAAATAAGTCTTAAATTACTTATAAACGAACCGTTTAAAGTCAGTTTAAGTTTTTTTTAGGTTGGTTTTAAGACGTTTACTTTTAGTTGAGTTAAGGATGGTTTAAAATTGGTTTTAAGTTAGTTTTAAGTAGGTTTTAAAGTTTGTTCTAAGTCTGTTTTTAAGTTTGTTTTAAAGTATGTTTAAAGTTTGTTTTTAAATGGTTTTAAGAAGGGTTTAAGCGCAAATACATTCAACAATCATCGATGGTAGAATAACGATTAAATAACATTAATTTACACCACATTAAATCATAATTATGAAGATACATTTTTTTAATTATGTTAACGTTCACATATATTCTAAGAATGAATATACAGGGCAATCAAAAAACTCAATTTTTGTAAATTAAATTATTTATTTACTATATTCCCTAAATACACAACCTTTTAAGATACAGATACTTGAAGAGCAAGTTACCACCAAGACAACATTTACCCTTTAATTACCGCATTGCGATAAATAGGGTAAAACAAGACGAAATAAAGCTTCAGAGATACAAAGATACAAAAGAATCTCAAAGAATCAGAGGAGAAATAAAAACGAAATCGGATTAATTTAAGCCGTAAAGAGAGAACAGCCCCTGAGGCAAGGCCAGTGATCGAAATGCCATTTGTTACTTCCAACTTAAAAATAAAAATAAAAACAAAAGCGAAACTGGGAACTGGAAATTATTTTGCAGAGATTCCCCGACCGATCGGTATGCCATTCACTTGAATTTAATTAAAGTGATTACTAATGGAAAAAGCACACACAAAATACGGGAAATAACTTCAAGTTCTTGCATCTCAGCGTTATTTTTAAATAAATCTTAAATGCAATTGTTATTTTTGCCTTTTGTTTGTCGATTTTTTTGTACTATTTCAGCGCAATAAATTAGAACAAATACATGGAATAAATGTGGAGGCAAAAAACTAAGAAAAAAACATACGAAATAAAAAACAAAAGAGAAGGCGGAGATGATGATGATGACGACGACTTGATTCACATTTTTTTTTGGTTTCTTTTCATTCTGGTTTCCCTCTCCACAATGTTTATGGGATGTGTGTGTGTGTGTTGTTGCCGATTTTAATGATTAGTCCAAAGATTTTATTTTCTATTCACTGCCTTAGGCCACAGCAACAGATTCTGGGTCACTGGGGATCGAGTGAGGCATAAAATAAAAAAAAAATAATCAAAATACAAAACAAAAAGAAAACTAAAAGCTAAGGGACTAAAATATAAAACCCAGACTTGTGAACTTGCTGTGGAATTTCTGAGTGCGTTAATTGGTTTGCTAAAAATTATGGTTTATCTTAAGAGAATTTCAGGGTTCTGACGATTGTCTCATGATCTTTACGCATAAACCTTTGCCATAAAATCTCTTCAAAAAAGTTGGTTAAAACCAGTAGCAAACATTTTTTGGGGTGACATTCTTGTTTGTATTTTCATACCCTTTACAGGGTATTATAATTTTAGTTGGCAGTTTGTAAAACAGTGAAGGAGACATTTTCGAACCTATAAATGTAAATATTCTTGTGTGTAATTTGTTCAACATTTTTATAAGGGATTACATTGTTAGAATTGTAAAAAAACAGGTATTTTGTACATTTTAAATGCAGATTTACAAACCTTTAACAAAATTAACATAGAAAAGATTTTCGAATTAATATTTATGCCTTTTTGGCTGAGTTTTTTCTAACTTTGATTTGTCGATCAAGTTTGCATATATAAATATCGATAAATATTGATGCAAAGAATTGGAAACATATTTTAAGATTAGTCGATAAAAATATCGATAAATATTGATACAAAGAATTGCAAATATATTTTAAGCTTAGTTATCGATTTCCTAGTCGAACCTATAATTCATTTGCAAATTTCAAGGGTATAAAGAATTCGGCTGCCCGCAGTTAGTTTATAATTTTTTTTTTTAGTTTTTTTAGTGTGTGTGTGTGCGTTTTCTCCATAAACAATTAGGCGGTACTGATTGTCGCGGAAGTCCAGCGTGAAAGAGAGAGAGCGGGGATCACATAGCTGAGTTCGCGTAGCTCCAGAGGAAGCACAAATAGCGGAATGCTGATAATTGCCCACGTTGCAAAATAAGAAAAATTCAGAGAAAAAAAATATACACACACACACACACTGGACTGAGTAGCAAAATAAATAAATGCCAAATTAGAGCAATGAATAAAATGCGTGGCAACAAAAATGAATACAATAAAAAATATGAAAAAAAAAACGAGCTGAGTTGTGCAAGACAGAGCGATAACCCCACAGAGAGAGAGAGAGAGGTGAATATAAGCAACTACTAAAAAAAAGGGGCATTCCGGATCAGAAGATCATTTAGCACAAATAATTATATACATACATATATTACAAAATATATATACATATATATAAAGAAACGCCAGTTCTTTAAGTTCCTTCAAATTAATATTATAAATATCTATATCTCCCATTTAAGAACATTGAAAAGTTAATAATTGTGCATATTACCTCATAAATTTTATTCGAAATATAGCTGTTATCATTTAGTATAACAACTAATAATAAATAATCTATTTTTTCTGTTCTCTTGAATTTATAATAAGCTCCCAAACGATCACAGATACACTTTTTATAGAAATTCTCATCCAATTCATTTAAAAAACTATTGCTATTATGTATTTGAAGTAATTACATTCGGTGCACTTTTAATACAAATTCCCATTCAATTAATTTAAAAACTATTACTATTATGTAATTGAAGAAATAAATTATTTGAATCACTCACCTCTTTGACCTTTTGACGTCGCTCCTCCAGCGTGGCATCCAGTGTATCCGGTGCCTGTTCATTGCCACCGCCACCGAGTGGCAAATGCACCTGTTGGGCGGGACTTTGGGCATTGATTACCGCCTGACTGGGTCCTGATCCCACACCACCGTCACCGCCTTGAACGGGTGCTGCCAGCACAGGTATTGCCGCATGTTGGCCATCTTCGCCACCGGCATCCCGTTCCTGTTCCCGTTCCCGTTCCCGTTCCTGCTGATCCATGAGAGCGGCCACCGGTGCCGGTGCTTGGGCTTGGGCCATGGCCTGAGCCTCGCCAGCGGCGGGGGGCTCATCCAGTATGTCACCCAATTCGGCACGGATTTTCTGCTCCAACCGCTGACGATCACCAATAAAATGTGGATCCTCGTTGCGATGCGGAGCATGACCTTGGCCAGCGATGGGCGGTGCTGGGATGAAGATCTCGGGCCCGGCCTTCTGGAAGTGCTTGTAGACCCGCAGGACCCGGTCGCTGCCAAAATTATCCGGCAGTAGGAAAATGCCGCCGAAGCAGAGGAAGCACAGGGTTACAAGCACGAGTCCAATCAGACATTTCTCGCGCGAATGGAAGTTCGATTTGCGTCCAATTGGACTAATGCGATACATGGTGTTTTAGTTAAAGTCTCACGGTAATTTATTTGTTTTTTGGTTTTCTCAGCTTTTCTTGGTTTTAGTTTTTTTTTCTTTATATTTTTTTCACCGAAGACTTTCTATACATTTGGTTCCAGTTTGATTGATATTGATTTGTTTCAGGCTTTTAAATTTATAATAGTTTATAAGAGGAATATTAACTATACGTTTGTAAGAGGAGAGTTTACATTAAACTCATATTTTTGGTTTAAGGAGTATTTTGTATCCTTTTATTTTAATAATTCAGGTAATTTTATTAATTTTTTATAAGACCGACATTAATAAGTTACTTTTTATAGGAATTATCAGCTGTTTTTAAGTCCTTTTTTTGTGGGTTATAGGGAAGAGGAAGGAGGGTTTGCCGGTTAAGGACTTGCTTTCTCTCTCGCTTGTTATAGCCTTTCTCTGCCTCTCTCTCTCTCACTCTCACTCTTTTGTGCTCTGAACGCTCTCTTGCCGCTGCATTGTTATTGTTATTATTGGCTATTTTTGGCTGTTTAAGGGACACGCACACACGTAAGCAATTGAGAAGGAATGAAAACGAAATGCAGAAACAAAAGAGCAGACCCAAAAAAAAAACAGACAAAACAAATAACAACAAAAACAAAAGAAAAAAAAGGTAATTCGAGGCGATGTCGCTGCGTGGCGTACATGAAATAACGAAGAAGAAGCACTAGGAGAAAAATAAGAAGAGCAGCAGACACACACACACACACACACACACAAGGGACAAGGAAAACAAACACAAACACAGACTCGTTTATGCGCTGCGAAAAAATCGTCTTTGCATTGGAATTTCGCACTTCTGTATCGTTTGATTTACGAATTAGTAGGTAAGAAAATGGTAAATTGCAACGGCAAATTGGTTGATTTCATAAATATTAATATTTGAATCACTTGAAAGTGTAGCATACAAAATATATGGAATTTTTTATTCCTTTTAAAAGATATCACTTGTTTCCTTTTTAATTAATCTTTGCATTATTTTTCACTGGAGTGCTATCAGCATTTTTTTTCTAGATTTTCCTATCATTCGTGAGTTTAATAAAGTCGCATTCTCTAGAAAAAACTTTTTTCCAATGAATTGCGTGCGACTTTTTAATAAAAACTAACTTTAATCACATTTAATTGGGTAAAATTTGTTAGGCAAATTACTATAATGTTGCATTACATTTGTCTCCCAGTGCATTTCGTTTATTTTCGCGATTAAAATCTAGAATAAATCTCGATTTTGCGGCTATGCATAAACTGCAGGTGAGAGCGATGCGGCACAAGGAGTGCGACAGAGACAGAACGAGCGAGAGACATTTCACACGCAATAATTTGCAACAACAAAACAGGCGGACAACAATAACAATTATTATGGAATACCGTTACAACGGTACTGCCGACCAGCAGCGCACAACGTACAGTAAAAAAATTAGAAAAAAAATAGCCTCTGTTTTTCGCAAATAACGAGAAGATGGCAGACAGGAGATAGGTGATAAAAGAGAGCAAAGAGAAAGGGATGAATCTGAAAGGAAGGCGTCGCTTTGATTTTTTTTTTTCTTCTCCCTTTCTCCTTTGCTCGCGCCCTGGCTGCTGCTTCTTCCAGTGTTGTGCTCGTTGTTGTTGTCGTTCTATGAGGAGGCGGTTGATTGGTAAGGGATTGGTACGGGAGGGTCGTCAGTATCGTTATCCACCTTTTACAAGCACAATTGTTCGATGCCGCTGCGGTAGGGCTCATAATATTATTTACAAAACGAATTTCACGCACGCCACGCTCGATTTTTGTTAAAATATCACATCACAGCAATTTACTTTACTCTCGGTTCCAGTGTGCCCGGTTCGCGCCAATTCGAATATGCCGCACGCGGTGCAAGACATACTAAATTTGCCGTGAAATCGCGCCAAGGAACAGCTGTTTATTCCAGGATCAGAACCACTGTATGTTTTAAGCCTTTTAAAATTAAGTAATCTGAAAATGATCTATTTAGTTTAAAATTATAGATGTAATTAAAATCTTAAAATTCAGGTAAAACAAGCAGGTAAAAAATTAGTTTTAATATTCTGTGTGCTGCTCAACTGAATATCCGTTTTTCAACACTTAGGAGAACAATCCAAGCATGTTAAAGAACAGTGCTGTTTTGTTTGGGGTTTAGCTAACAAATTTAAATTATTTAAAAATAACAAATTTTAAACATATTAAATAAAAGTAAACATTTATTCGGTCATCATAAAAAACTTCTTTTGTACTTTAATTTATATTTACCCTCTAAAAGGCCGCGAGCTTACCGTTTGACGAATTTTGAGTATTATACAACACTGTGAACAGCTGTTATCCATTTGCCTGCGTTGATTTTTAAAGTTTACTCGGAACAATTTCACAATTGTTCTTTTTTCTGGTAAAATGGAGAAATTCGTGCGGGATTCGCTGTCCAAAATCTTAGATTGCGTGGTCACAGATCAAATGATGTCGTAAGTAACCGAATCTTTGGAATAATGATGGTCTCAAGGCACTAACTTTGTTGTTATTTCCAGAGCAATCTTAAGCATCAAAGATGACTACGAATTTGACAACTATTTCGGAAATTTACTGAGCGAAGACAATGAAGAGCATCGTCTCTTCCTACTTAATTGCCGGAGAATGCTTCTCAGTGGAAAGCAGCCCCGAAGTAATAACAAGAACAGCAAACAACAGCCAACATCCACAGCGCCGATAAAAGCAGGCGGCGGTGGCGGCAGTGGAGTGAAGGTAAAGCCTGGAAAATTTGTTAATTTGTATGCCAACGATGGAAAAGTCTTGGGCGACACCATATTACTGAAGGGTCGACGGCCCTGCGAGTGCCAGGCGGCGCAGCACAAGCTGATCAACAATTGTCTGGGCTGCGGCCGGATTGTGTGTGAACAAGAGGGCCCTGGTCCCTGCTTGTTCTGCAGCGAGCCCGTCTTCACGCCCGAGGAGTTATTGCGGTTGGCTAAGGTGGCGCGTGAAAGCAAGCAGAATGTCAAAGCAGCTACCAAGCAGGGCAAGAAATCCAAGGATTCAGCAGCAGCCAAAGAAACTGCCTCCAAGGAATCCCTCGAAAAGGCACTGGCCCAGAGGGATCGCCTACTGGAGTACGACAAGAACAGCGAGAAGAGAACGACCGTCATTGATGATGAGCTCGACTATTTCCAGGTGCGATAATTGTCTCTGAAAAACCGTGAGGAATTATAAGTTTAAATCGTTCGATTTTAGGAAAACTCCGTGTGGCTGAGCAAGGTGGAGCGCGAGAAGTTCGAGAAGCTTAAGGGCGAGATGCACGAAATGAAGCACGGCAGCCGGCTGAATCGCAAGATTCGCGTGGACTTTGCTGGCCGTGAATTACCAGAGGATTTGCCGGTTTCCAAGGAGTATGAACAGCAGGTGATCAACGAACTGGCGGCGGTGTCGAAAGCAGCGGGCGGTGCATCCAACTGGAGCTCCTCCTCCCTCACAGGACACTCGGCAATGGTCTTAGCGCCAATTTTGGATTTGACCAAGCCGCCAGTTTACAAGACCAGCAAGGAGGCAACGAACCGTTCAGCGGCGCCATCAGGCACAGATGGACTGGAGCAGATTTACAATCGAGTGCAGGATAAGGAGCTGCTTGAAATGCAGGATATGCGTCAGTGCCTTTCGATGCATCAGCCATGGGCTTCTCTTCTAGTCGCGGGAATTAAAAAGTAACTGAAGTTCGAGCGAAACTTTTAAGATTTAATGAAACTTTATGTTTTTTTTATTGCAGACACGAAGGTCGAGTTTGGTACAGTGAACACCGTGGAAGACTGTGGATTGCTTCCACCTCTAAAGAACCGCACGCCGAGGATATTGCCCACATGGAGGAGTTGTACCGCGTGATTTACAATGGTAAATGCCTTTAAAGTGGCTGTAAGAATTATGGTTATTATATAGAAATCTCTTTCAGATCCCAATATTACATTTCCTAGTCATTATCCTACGGCAAGTCTGTTGGGTTGCGTTCACGTGGATAGCTGCCTGCCGCAGGAGGAGTACAGGGATATATATCCCAACGGGGAATCGGACAGCCCGTATGTCTTTGTCTGCTCTAAGCCAGAACAGCTGAATATCCTGCTGCCCGTTAAAGGCGAACACAAAATATGTAAGGACTTTGCTTTGCTCAGCTAAGTGGTTGCTAAAGATTTCTTTTTTATAGATGAACTTCCTCTGAAAACGCACAGTGCCGCCTGCAAAATGCTGCTCCGAGCCAGAGCCAGCAAGGCTTAATAACAATAGGTGACAAAATTAGATCAAAACCAAACACATTCTAATTAGTTTTAAGCCAGCATTACATTCAAAATGGCCACATTCTGTGAATATTAATTAAATTTGGATTGAAAAAAAGGGAGAAAACTAATGCAAATGACAGGCTTCAATTGCTTTTTAAAGAACTGTCCAAAATAAACTCGCAAAAGCAACGTAATCTTATTCTTTTTTTTAATTAAATCGCAATACTTAAAACAGGAAGATACATGGATTATCAGAAAACTTGATTAGTTTATAGTGATATTACAAAAGGCCACTACACATGGTAAAAATTAATTAAATATTTACTTCCAGAACAATGTAGCTACATTGTCAGTTAGTTAATTAGTTTCTGCTACAGATTACATAGCATATTCCATTATGAGGACAAAAAACTAAATACCACGCTTTAATCTATTATTCTAAATGGCTTTTCCCTATTTTTTTAATTAAAATGGCGATAGCTCAAGTTCGAAATTCTGCAAACCCATGGCCTATAAAATACGAACTCAAGCACTACTACAGACATTGTGATTACAAACTTAAATCGAGTAAGAAATGTTCATCAAAGGCCTTCTTCTGCTGTTGGCAGTCATTTCCTTGTCCACAGGACGACTCCTTCCCGAACCGGAAACGCGTATTATTGGCGGAAAAAATGTGGACATCGAAAGTGCACCTTGGCAGGTGTCCTTGCGTTTTACAGGAAGTCATAGCTGTGGCGGATCAATTTATAACGAAAGCATTATCATTACTGCTGCCCATTGTTTTTATAACAAGGATAACACGCCACGACAGGCAAAGGACCTTACGGTTCTTGCAGGATCCGCAGACAAGCTATCAAGTGCAACTATTGTGAAAGTGGCTAAAATTAAGCCTCACGAGAATTATATCCCTTCCTCAAAGGGCTACGACATCGGCTTACTTAAATTAAGTAAACCACTTGACCTAACAACAAACAAAATCCAAAAGATTGCTTTGGCAGAGAAAGATCCTGCTCCTGGAAAAAAAGGCCGGGTGACAGGCTGGGGATTTGTAAAAAAAACCAAGGACTTTTTTGACAGTCCTGATTATCTTCAAGCCGTTGATATAGAACTGGGCGTTTGTAATAAAGAAACAAAAAAATTATCTGTGGCGGATCATTTGGAGCAACGACATGCGAAGGAGATTCCGGTGGACCGTTGGTAGTCGACAACAAATTAGCGGGAATTGTTTCATATGGTCACAAATATTGCACAGGTGTAACCGCTTATACAAGTGCTTACCAGTTTAGTAAATGGATTCGAACCAATGCGGCCTCGATTTGAATATGCATCATAAAAGTTCATTAAAACTTTTATCAACGTAGCAAAAAAAAAGGCTACCAACAAAACAAATGTCGATTTGAATATTAATTTTGAAGGTAGCAAAAAAAAGCATATAAAGCAAATATATAATCAATAAATGAAGCAAATTTAAACTTATATACTTCGTTTTCTTTATGTTAATTTATTTAAATAATGGATTTACTAATTATTAAGGGTTTGTATTTGTAATCTTCAATCTTTAAAATGTTATTTTTTAAATTTTATTCTTTAACCATCTTACCATTCCCAATACAGTAACAAATGTTTTTCCTTGACTGTTTTTCTCAAAACATAATTTTGCAATGCAGAACTCAAAATAGTTTCTAATATTTTAACCATTTTGACAAAACTTGAATAGTGCGATTTTTTTTAGGAAAATAATTCTTCTGCTTTTCATTTTCTAAAAAATGTTTATGAAAAACGTTTGAGACTGGAATTCTGCAGTGCTACAGAACTAAAGTAAATCATATTCCCTTCATATAAAACAGTGCCTAAAAACCATATGTATTTCTTAAATATTAACCAAGTCAAATTATTTGAAATTAAAAGTTCAAATTCATTTTGAAAAATCCGCTAAATTTCCCGCTAACCTTGAGCTATCTGGCAACTCTCCACAGCTGTTATTTTGTTGTCTCGTTACTTACTTGTAAATATTTACACATTTATGCAATGGTCAAGGTGGACGTAGAATACTGGTGAGTACTCCTGTGTGAAGCTGGGAATAGGCATCCCCCCCGGTAACTATCCGTATTGGTTTTGCAGCGGCATCTGCAACTTCAGCGGCCAGTGCCAGCTGCTGCGCCAGTTCCTCTTGGCCGCCAATCCCGAGGTGGAGATAACATGCCGGCAGGGCCGACGCGGATCCTTCGAGGTGGCCATCGACGGTCACCTGGTTCACTCGAAGCTCGCCTGCCTGGCCTTCCCGCAGCACGACAGCGTCCTGGCCCAAGTCCAGCGCGCAGAGCGTGGCGAGTCCGTGAAGACGGTCCAGGAGCAGCCCATCAAGGACTGCAGCGTGATGTAGAGTGGATTCGAATGGGAAACGATCCCTAAGATTGACTGTGCACATATGTATGTATAGTGCTATTAAAACAGTTTAAATTCGAGGTAAAAAACGTTTAGAGATTTGGAAATTGAATGCCTAAAAGTAGTTTTGCTTCCAGGATCTTAAGCTGAAGAGGAGCTGTGGTTCCACATAGATAAAACTTAAAGTAGGTTACCTCAAATTTAGAAGGGGTAAGGATGCTTTTAAATTAATCTATATCCTTTAATGATTCAACTTCTACAAATCCTTGTCGTAATTAAAAGGAGTGCCATTTCCTTAGGCAGTTAATAAAGGGCTTCATGGGCAGGTCTTCTTTTAGTCAAAGGAATTGCATAATCCGTCGTAAGATAATTGAAACATACTTGTAATTATTTTAAATGATAGATGGTATTGTTTTCAATAGACTATTGGACTACCCAGAGGCAACACAAAGTTGCAGTTCATTAAATGATTATCTCAAGAACGAGGTGGCTTCATTGTCAGTTAGTTATTTACATCATCACATAACTCCTTCTTGATGACAAAAATAGTCGTTTAAATAGTTTTCCACTCTTCACTAATTAAAATAGCGACAGCTTAAGTTATATTTGACACAATTCTGCCAATCCCCATGGCCTATAAAAGACGATCTCAAGCACTACTACTGACATTGTGATTACAAACTTAAATCGAGAAAGAAATGTTCATCAAAGGCATTCTTCTGCTGTTGGCAGTCATTTCCTTATCCACAGGACGACTCCTTCCCGAACCGGAAACGCGTATTATTGGCGGAAAAGATGTGGACATCGAAAGTGCACCTTGGCAAGTGTCCTTGCGTTCTTTTGGAGGACATATCTGTGGCGGATCAATTTATAACGAAAGCATTATCATTACTGCTGCCCATTGTTTTTTTAACGATGATGGCACATTACAACAGGCCAAGGACCTTACGGTTCTTGCAGGATCCGCAGACAAGCAATCAAGTGCAACTATTGTGAAAGTGGCTAAAATTAAGCCTCATGAGAATTATATCTCTTCCTCAAAGGGCTACGACATCGGCATACTTAAATTAAGTGAACCACTTGACCTAACAACAAACAAAATCCAAAAGATTGCTTTGGCAGAGAAAGATCCTGCTCCTGGAAAAAAAGGCCGGGTGACAGGCTGGGGATATGTAAAAAAAGCCCTGGTGTCTGATCATCAGGGAGAATTATATACGACGTACAGTCCTTTTCACCTTCACGCCGTTGATATAAAGATTCAACAGCTGGGCGTTTGTAAAAAAGGGTTTTACGAAGTACCAAATAATTTATTTATCTGTGCTGGATCCGATGGATCAACGACATGCGAAGGAGATTCCGGTGGACCGTTGGTAGTCGACAACAAATTAGCGGGAATTGTGTCATTTGGTTACGTATTTTGCACAAGTTTAACCGTTTATACAAGTGCTTACCAGTTAAGTGAATGGATTCGAACCAATGCGGCCTCGATTTGAATATGCATCATAAAAGTTCATTAAAACTTTTATCAACGTAGCAAAAAAAAAAGGCTATCAACAAAACAAATGTCGATTTGAATATTAATTTTGAAGGTAGCAAAAAAAAAAGCATATAAAGCAAATATATAATCAATAAATGAAGCAAATTTAAACTGATATACTTCGTTTTCTTTATGTTAATTTATTTCAATAATGGATTTACTAATTATTTAGTGTGTATTTGTAATTATCAATCTTTAAAATGTAATTTTTTTTAAATTTTATTCCCTAAGCATCTTACCATTCCCCAAACAATAACAAATGTTTTCTTAAAACATAATTTTGCAATGCAGAATTCAAAATAGTTTCTAATATTTTCACTATTTTGACAGTATATTGACATAACTTGAATAGTGGAAAAGATTCCTTTGGCGGAAGAAATCCTGCTCCTGGAAAAAAGAGCCGGGTCACAAGTTGAGGACGAGGAGTTAAAGAATTCATCGAGATTGATCAGGAATTAGTTCCTGTAATGGAATATTATCCTAATATTCTTCAAGCCGTCGCTGTGGATATTCTATGTTGTGAGACACAAAGGACGCTATTTGCGCCGGATCTGCAGGATTATCGGTTTGCGATGCAGACTCTGGTGGTCCTTTGGTTGTCGACGACAATTTAGTGGGCGTGGTGTCATATGGTAATGAAGAGTGCACTTCTGGAACAGTTTTTACAAGTGTTACCTATTTCCGCCGGTGGATTCTAGAAGCAGTTAAGTCCATTTAATATCATTTCTATTCTCACATTTTATTTTGAACGTTTAGATGGGCTAAAAAAAAATTGTAATAATAAAATAAAGAGAATTCAAACTGCAGTACTTCCTTTTCTTCTCCACTTGCCCAGCTTCTCGAAGGACTCTAGCGACGGTAGCGATAACGCTTAAAGTGAAACCACAGCTGGAAGATGTTGTTGTGGAACTGACAGCGGAATCCCCTCTTGTAGCTGAACTCCCATTCCCGATTGACGATCTTGAAGGCAATGTCCTCGTACGGCGGTCCCGTGTGGAAGCGGAGCACGGCAAAGTCACCATTGTCCGCACAGGGAGTGAGGAAATATTGTGGCGTCTGCGATTTGTCCATCAGATCGGGATAGAATATGTTAAACTTGTAGCCCTGAACGATCTTTGGCGGTGGATTGTCCATGTCGTAGTGCGTCTGATTGTACTTGTTCCACTCGAAGCCGGTGTGGACGCGATTGAAGTACCTGGGCTTGCGCGGTCGGTACTTATCCGTGGCCAGCTGGGGCACGGCGTCCAAGGTTGTCTCCACGCTAAACTCGGCCTCGTCGCCCTGCATCCCTTGCCGGGCCTCGTTGCGCATCCGTAGCTCTTGCGGCGTCAATTGGTTTGTGTCGACGCGTTCTGGATGAATGACTAGCAGGCGTTGACGCTGTATCCGCCGCTCGTCATCCTCCTCATCGTACAGGGCACCTTCGCCATCAACATCGTCGTCGTCTTCGTTCTGCAGCCGTCTGCCCGTGAAGTCCTCCTCGCGTATATAGCGCGGGCTATAGTTGCCGACCTGGTAGAGGCGGGCTGCATCGCGAAGCTCCTTGAGCGGATCTTCCTCGTCGTCTGGAGTGGCGGGATCTCCTTCCTCTGGATTCTCGGCTTCCTGTGTATCCATCTCTTCTTCCTCCTCCTCCTTTTTGACTTGCGGCAGTTCATCCGGCCCCACCTGTGTCTCATCGTCATTCTCCTTCTTGAGCAGCAGCAGTTTCTCGCGGAGCAATGCCTGATGACGATCACGCAGCCGAGCCCGTGCCATGTGCGCCTTGAGTTGTGAGAGCAGGCTCTCCCAATAGCTGATGTCCACACCATCCGCCCGTCCGCTGATCTTGGCCTCGATGCGCTGACGCATCTCCTCCAGCTGATGGGCGTTCTTGCCCCTAAATATATCGGCCACATCCTTGACGACGCTCTGATGGATGCCGTCCCTCCGTTGATTTAGTGCACTGCCTTCGGCTAGCAGTTTCTGTTGCTTCTGCAGCTCGTCCTGCACAATGGTGATCATGTCGTTCCAGAAATCAATGTGCTTACCCTGTTCCAGCTCCTCGTACACCTTGATGTCCACCAGCAGATCCTCCAGCTCCTCCATGGGCAGGCCATTGAGCAGCATGTAGGGTTCGTGCATCTGCATTTCGAGTGACTCCTCAAGCGGTGCATTGCCGGCGGCCACGTACTGGGCCAGCAGATCGATGGGCTTGGCCCTGCCATCGCGGATGCGAATCTCACTGCGCAGGCGGGCTTGCTCCAGATGGAACTGATCCTCCTGGCGCTGCCACTCACGGAACTGGACCGCCTCCTTGGCCCGCTGCTGCATCATCATATCATCTTCGCGCACCTGCCGCTCCAGTTCACGCTCCTGCCGTCGTTTCTTCACCTTCTCCAGCTCGCGTCGATTCTCCAGCTGTTTCTGCAGCGACAGGACCTCCACCGTTTTGGTGGAAAGGTTTGAGAGGCCCTCCACCTCCAGTTTCTTGCCCCAGTGGAATGTGGAGGTGAGATTGGAGTCGCCAAAGGGATTGTCCTCGTTGGAGTACGTCTGGTACTCATTATCCCAGCCCATTCGCTGGCGGCGCCGCTGCTCCTTGGCCTGCTTCTCGCGCAAGCGGCGCGACCTCTTCTCCTCAGGCGTCTCCTGGGCCTTTAGCTCCTCCTTCTTTCGCTGGCGGTCCTCCTGCTCCCGCATTCGACGCGCCTCCAATGTTTGAAGCAACTTCATCGAACTCTTGGCCAGTGGTGACTTTGGGCCGCCGGTGCGGGAGGACTTTGACGATGAGGACGAGGACGATGAGGAGCGCCGCTTTCGGCTGCTGCTACTTTTATGGTCTCGGTCTCGGTCTCGTCGTTTCTCCCGGCTGCGGTCCCTTTCCCTACGGCGATCACGTTCCTTGTCTTTCTCCCTGCGATCTCGATCCGTTTCCCGCTCTCTATGCCGACTGCTTTTGTGGTCCGGACTCCGATCTCTTCTTTCGCGACTGCGACTTCGATGTCGGGACTTGGATTTTTCCTTGGGCATTGTGTTTGTCGCAGTTTTGTCCAATAAATCGAGGAAATCCAACAAATTGTGAAATCAAAACAAAAAATGCGTACCAAAGGGATGGGATTTCAAGCCACAAATTGTAAACTACTGTTATCGATAGCAGCCGATAAATGGAAAGTGAACTCATCAACACTGTTTGGTATTTAGCATTTTGTATGTGAGAAATATTTTGTTTTAAAAAAGAAACACAAAAGTTCGTAGAATTAAAAATGGTTGAAAACATTTCTAAATATTTTGTGATAATAATAAATAGATAATAAGAAACAGGAATTAAAATCAAAGACATGCATACTTGGTGCATTAGCCAACACTACTTCGAACAGCTGATCAAAAAGATAATAAGAAACGACATATTGACTAGTAAATACCCTTAGATAGTTGTAAAGACTTAATTTGGAAGTAAACGTATAACTTGTACAAATATAAATATATAATTTAGAGAATCAAAAAATTCCCTTAAAAGAAAAACAAGTCGAAGAATTGCTAAATAAATGTATTAATGCTTAATATTGACAAACGAATGCAACAGCTGTTGTAAACTGATATTAATTTTCTTGGATAGAGTATGGCGCCGCATTTGCCACTATTTTTCCATGCCGGCTCCGGCCTCAAATAAATAAAACCCGACGCGCAGCCCCACGCATTTAATAGTTCCAAACATGTCGCCATATCGCCCGGAATTCACTCAATTGGAGCAATCGAACATCGATGTGGAATTCTCTAGATTGGCCAGTAAGTGCTTGGGCCGGGGCGGGGTAAGAGGAAGATCGGAATCATGGTGAAATACTCGCATTGTAAACAGATAACAACATTGGTAATCTTTTGTTCCTTTTTAGACAACAAGAGCATTTACCTGGATCATGCGGGCACCACTTTGTATTCGGAGAACCAGGTGACTGCCGCCGCGGAGCAACTGCGCCAGAATGTCATCTGCAATCCGCACACCTGCCGCCTCACCGGCGACTTTGTGGACCAAGTGCGATTTAAGTGAGTGCTCAACCGTGTCCACTGTCATTGGAGTGCCCTTGCATGGGGAATATGCATACGTGCATATATGTTATAGGAGTTTCTTCATCAAACTTTCCCTTGTTACTCGCTTTAGGATCTTGGAGTTTTTCAATACCACCGCCGAGGACTACCATGTGATCTTTACGGCGAATGCCACCGCTGGGCTGTCTCTGGTGGCCGAGAATTTTGACTTCGGTTCGTCGGGTAACTTTCATTTCTGCCAGGAGAATCACACCTCAGTTCTGGGCATGCGAGAAAGAGTCCAGGCCAACGGAATATATATGCTGACTGAAAAGGAGATATCTGGTGAATCTGGCAAGCAGTTGAGCAATGGAAAATCGCCCAGAACAGGCAGCGGTAACTCTCTGGTGACCTTCTCTGCCCAGTGTAATTTTAGTGGCTATAAAATCCCACTGGATACCATTGGAAACATCCAGAGAAACGGCCTTACCCAACGCGGAAAACAAATTTGGTCTTCTAAGACGGAGAAAGATGAGATCGATAATAATAACTACTATATCTGTTTGGATGCGGCTTCCTTTGTGGCTACCAGTCCCTTGGATCTACAAAAATATCAACCCGATTACGTGTGCCTGAGTTTCTACAAGATCTTTGGCTATCCCACTGGCGTGGGTGCTCTATTGGTGAGCAAGCGGGGTGCCGAAGCCTTTGGAAAGCGACGATTTTTCGGTGGCGGTACCATTAACTATGCGTATCCTCACGCCATGGACAACCAGCTGAGGGAGTCCTTTCACCAGCGATACGAGGACGGCACACTACCTTTTCTTGCAATCGTAGGACTGCTCGAGGGCTTTCGCACGCTGGAGAGACTGGTGCCCAGAACGGAAGGTTTCACAACAATGGAAAGAATCTCCAGGTGGGTTTTGAATCAAACATATATATAATATATATATAAATAAATGTATTAATCGTTTGACAGGCACGTTTTCGGCTTGGCCAAGTACCTGGAGGACCAGCTGAAGCAACTGCAGCACCCCAATGGCGAGCCCCTCATCCAATTATACAACAAAGTTGGCTACGAGAACAAGAGCCGGCAGGGCGGCATCGTTGCCTTCAATGTGCGCACCGATTCTGGATCCTTTGTGGGCTTTGGCGAGATTGCGTGCGTGGCGGCTCTTCATGGTATACTCCTGCGCACAGGATGTTTCTGCAATATCGGAGCCTGCCAATATTATTTGGGCCTAGATGAGGATGCCATGGATGCGATATACAAGCGAGCTGGTCGCATATGCGGTGATTACCACGATCTTATCGATGGCCAACCCACAGGAGCGGTGCGTGTATCTTTTGGCTATATGACCACGTTTCAGGATGTGGACGAGCTGCTCAAAATGCTGCGTTCCAGTTATTTGGCCACTAAGCCTCACCAGCGGATTCTATTCATCGAGGAGCAGGCGGAACAACTGCCACCGGTTCTAAAGCAACGTGTCCAGCAGCTGCGACCAAAGCTCCTACAAATGGCCATATATCCGGTCAAGTCCTGTGCCGCCTTCAAGATCAGTTCGTCAGGTGAGTCGTGGCCCCTGACCGAGCAGGGCTTGAAATACGACCGGGAATGGATGATTGTGGACATGAATGGCATGGCCCTCACTCAGAAACGTTGCACGGAACTGTGCCTGATCAAGCCGGTGATTACCGAGGATCTCCTGGAGCTGCACTTTGGCGAGTCTTCAGTATCGGTTCCCCTGTCACTGCAGGACCAGGCGGACGACTCGGCCAAGTGCGTTAGCAAGGTGTGCCGAGAGCCGGTGAATGGCTTGGATTGCGGTGAAGTCGTTGCCCAGTGGCTGAGTGAAAATCTGGGACTGGAGGGTCTGCGACTACTCCGGCAATCGGGCTACAGGAACTCATCCAAGGATCAGCAGAAGCTGAGTCTGGTGAATCAAGCTCAGTTCCTGCTGGTGAACCGTTCCTCTGTGCGGTCCCTTCGCTTCGAAGAGGACCTTGACGAGACTGTGGATCGTTTTCGAGCCAATATCATTATTGACACAGGCTCGGCATTCGAAGAGCTCTCCTTCCAGGAGCTCACCATTGGCCAGATTAATTTCCGAGTGGAGGGTCCCTGTCAGCGTTGCGATATGATCTGTATTAATCAACGGACAGGCGAAAGATCCCCGGAGACACTGACCACAATTTCCCGCCTTCAAAAGGGTCGCATGCGATTTGGCATTTATATCACCAGAGTGACCAAAGCAGACGAAGAGGCCGACGGTAAGGAGCAGAGCATGTCCTGCGGCGATGTAGTCCTGGCGGAGTGAACAACACACATAACTACGGGTAATTACAATCCATAAATATGTAGTTTTATATGAGGGTTATAAATATTGCACAAATAATTCATATTATTCCATCCATAATTAAATAAAGCTGTAAATATTTGACATATTTATTTGCTTTATTTTGGCAAAGAACTCAACTAAAAACCTTATTAACAACGATGGTTTTCCTATAATTCAAATTTGTACATCACACAGAACTTAAAACGTAAATTCCTTAAAATGTATAGAATTAATTAATTTTTGAATATATACATTCAAATATATATTTAACAAAACAAACAAATATATATTTAACAAAACAAACAAATATATACATATATTGTCCCGTTAAATCTCAAAGCTTTTTATGATTACTTAATATATTTGAAATTTAATATACTTTGAAATTTAATATACTTGCCTTAGATAATAATTCAAACAAACATTCACAAATAACTTAAGCATTATGTAAACGGATACCTCTTGCCAGTGCCTTTAAAGGTAAAAAAAACATACACAATAAAAACAATTTTTAAAAACGGAGAGATAGTTCATTTTTCTAACAGGATCAAATGAAAAGGACATCCCCATTTAAATTTATTTATAATATCTGTAATTAAATAACAATGGGATGAAATCGAAATGTCCTTTAATGACGGACTGATAAAGGGAATATTGCAAAACAAAATAAAACATTATTTTATTTGGATTTGTATTATGCGGTTGGATGTTTAACTCCTACTAATTAAGCATTAAGATCAAAGGCACTGATTTAATGTCCTTATTATAACAAAAAATTTAAGATTACAAGTTTTTAAATGAATTTTTAATTAATTTATTGTGGACTATTGGTTGTAAACTTGCCTCAAACAAGACTAAAACAAATAGAAAAAGGATTCGATCAACAAGGATAGTTCAATGATCTTTTGAACTTTTTACAGCGCCATCTAGACAGCAAGGCCAGCACTTTATCCTTTCATGATCGAGTCCTGCGCACCAGTGTTGCCAGGAGCTGAGCGATAGTGCAAGTTTGTTTCGGAGTAAAAATAAGTTTAAATTAACTTAAAATTAAACAAAAAATGACTGAAAAACAAGCTACACTCATAATTTTTATATTAATTTAATTGAAAATAAATTCATTGCTTTTGTAATTTGTATTTGTCGCAGAAATATTTATAATTTTATTTTATCATTTTTCAAAACATGACACATCCTGCGCAATTATTAACATTAACATTAGTTTATTGGTTTTCAATTAAAATTAAAATTCACCTAAAACCATTAGAAAAACAGGAATGGAAACTAACTTCGAAAAATCAAAATTTTAAAACATCATAACGTAGTCAAAAACTCATTAATTTCCAATTGGAAAGCTTTCCTTTTTTGGTTTTTATTAGGTTTTCAAATCTGCATAATGAGTTTTATTATATACAAATTTTAAATTTTTTGTCAATTTTTTAAAGTAAATAAATAAATTAGATAAATGTAACCCCTTATAAAATTTTGAAAAAAATTAAAAAACTAATTTTTTCATCTGACAGCTAGATTGACTCAGCTGTTGATGCTGATTAATAAAATATATAATTTATGGGGTTGGAAATGATTCCTTGAAAGTGTAATAAGCTTCTGACTAAAATTAGAATACCTCTGCAAGGGTATAAAAAGCCACGATATTTTTTACATCGTGCATATCACATATACGAAATGAACTTTAAAATATTATATATTTAACGCTTAGCTTTTTATAGAAGTATCAATCTTTAAAATAAGCTAAATGCCTGAAATAAGCTATGTTGGCAACACTGACTTCAACAATGCCTTGTGGATTGTGGACCTTGTGGACTCATTCCGAATTGAAACGCGAGAGCAGACGGTAGTATCCGGAGAAATTAAGAAAATCGACTCTAGATTTTGTAGCTACCAACGAAACTTTTTGGCTTATAGCTTTAGCTTTCCCACAACCCGAAGAGTTGACAACACTGGATGGAAGGCGGAAAGGATAATAATAAGTAACTGTCGGCACGCAGCAGGGCTTAAAGCAAAATCAAATGAATAAATTAATTAAATTACAATTGTAACTAAATAATATTAAAACGTTTGCGACAACAAATACCCAGTAGAGATACACGCACACCAAAATCGCCAAAGAGAGAGAGAGCGAGAGAGAGGAGGGCAAGAGATAAAGCCCCCAGAAAGTATGCAGCAAAAATGTGAATAACTAATATAACTACGACTGCAAATAACAAACACACACACACACACTCCCCTCGTTGTTATTGTTGCCTTTGTTATTTTCCGACTTATATAAGTGTGTGTGTGTGTCGCGTGTGTGCGTGCGTAGTAGTAAAAATGTAGCAACAACAGAAAAAAAAAACACCACAAATACGAGACAACGAACCTAGTAAGGACATTTTTTGATACCACAATTGTTTGTTAACAAAAAGCAAGAAAACCCGAAGAAGTAAAAATCAAAGGAGAAGAAAAGAAAAGAAAGCAGCTGGCAAAAACAAAAAGTAAGAAGAGCGAAGAGAGGAAATTACACTTGCCCCAAAAATTATACCACAAAAAGCCAAAAGGAAACAACACAGACAGAGTGAGAAAGAGAGAGAGAGAGAGAGAGAAAACGCTGGGCAGCAAGAGCAAGAACAAGGACAAGGGCCATTGCGAGCGAGCAGGACAGGAGCGTCCATCATCCACCAATACAGATGAATATGTTACACAGTTTCAGTGGCGGCGGCGCCGGCAGCGCTGCCAACGCCACAGGCGACGTCAGCAGCGGTGAGTACTCGGTCCTTGCCTTTTCCTCTTTATTCCCCCAAAACAAAAACAAAACAAAAAGCAACAACAAAAAACAACAACAAACAGCCGAATATATGGCGAATACAAGAACAAGAACAGCAGGAGTGGCAAATACCAATTACATATCAAACACATACACACTAATGTAGCCACTTGTGTGCGTGTCGTGCGTGTGTATGTGTATGTGTGTGTGATTTGTTGTTGTTCGTGGCGTTGATGCGTAGAAGGTGCGAAAGTGAAAATGATTTCGCGTCCCTATTTTTTGAGAGCAAAAGCAGGCAAAAAAGATATTCGGTTACAGTGGTCATTCAATAAATAAAAAAATATGAGAGAAAAATCATAAACGATATAAAAGCGTTGTATTAAAATATTTAGGTATATTTAGAAAAATAAATAAATTGAATTGAATTTATTCAATATTGATTGTTATATCCAAGTATGAAAAATATCGAACTATATGTAATTGTAGTAAAACTAATTACAGATTTAGGGATGCATAAATGAAAATATTTCGACATGATATTAAATTAAAAATATCTTTACCTTTGATTAATAGAATTTTTAAATAATTAAACAAAATCGTATTTAAATTTTCATATTAGCGAGAAATATTGAAATAATTATATTTTATTTGTCTCTTGTTTTTATTTATCGTAAAAACCACCATCGACCTATGCTTAAAATATCAAAGTATCGATATATTAATATTATTTGCCAACTTAAATACTAATTTTCGATCTCCAACTTTTGGCTCTCATATTCTTCATGAATAATACAAAAAACAAATGTACATTGATTTAAGTATATTTTTAGCCCTCAAAAAAATATTTGCATTAATTTAATCTCACTCATTCTTTTAGGTTAATCAATGTAATTAAATAATACGTATTTAAATAATTCTTATTGATTTAGCGGTTGCTTACTGTCTATCAAAACTTTAGGCAACCGAAACCTTTTTTCGATGAATCCGGGAGCGAAAAATTCGCAGGGGGTTGCAATTTACTGGATGGAACATGTGGAACAATCCCATGGATTTGTGTACACACAACCTCGGACGTGTACATATTGATGTACATATGTATATATTAAGTCCAGCTCCTTTAATTCGAACTTTACAAATAGAATTTTGTAATCAAATTATCGTGAGTGGCCATATTTCATGAAGGTAACTCTGAAGAGCTGAATTGTTTGGTTGATTTATTCACAAAGTATATATAAATATACATATATATATACATAGGTAAATATGTATGTTAAAGACCACTTTGCAAAGAAATATAAGCAGTTCTTGGCCATAAATTAAACATAACTATTTTAATCACAAGGAAAACAATTATTTCATCTAGCAAATTTTTTTCTATAAATTTTGATCAAGAATTCTGAAAAGTTTCTTTATTTATGAATAAACAAATGGAACAGAGAATTTATTAACTTTTTTTGAGCAAATTCAGTTACACGTATGATTAGTTTTCACAGTGCGTATGAGTGATATTTTAATCATAGCACAAAATATTACTCATACGCAATGTTGGTTCTATGCATTTTTAAATAAAAATATATAATTATTATTAAGCTTTAAATTGCGTTTAAATTACGGTTACAATTGAAACACGAAATTTATCAAAAAATTTGTTGTCAAATTCAGTTTTACGCATGAGTGATATTTTAATCATAGTAAAAATTATTACTCATACGCAATGTTGGTTCTATGGAATTTTAAATAAAAATATATACAAAATATAAATATAAATTATTTATATATATATATATATATGCGTTAAAAAATTTGTGAACATCAGTTTTACGTATGAGTGATGTTTTTAATTATGGTAAAAAATATTACTCATACGCAATGTTGGTTCTATGGATTTTCAAATGAAAAAAAAAAATATAAATATATTATTATTATGTTTAATAAGTGATTCAGGAAATTTATTACTTTTTTTTCTCAAAGCACAAAAAATTACTCATACGCAATGTTGGTTCTATGGATTTTTATGTAATACGATTTTATTTAATATATTTTTCAATACAAAAATGCACTTTAATTGAAGTTAGTATAGATATTTTTCTTATGAACTCTGTCTATAGCTTAAATATGTTGCATTAAATTATTAGTTGAAAATACATTAAAGAAACTACGCAATACAATGGCATGCATTTCCACACCTTCACTGATGCATTTGCATTACCAGAGATTTCCGCGAACACTAACTACTATGTTACTGATTTAATATTGATTTTAATCCAATTAAAATTGACACAAGTAGAGTGCATTCATTTGCGCTTTCCTGGTAATGCGTTTGTGAGTGCCATGGACATGCCATGATTTATTGCGAATTGCAAGGGCGAGAGTGTGCGTGGGCCATTAATTAGGGGAGTGAAATCGGGAAAAGCTCGGTGTGTTGGCAGGTGCAGCAGCAGCAGCAGCTTACAGGCACAGAGAAAAAAAAGTGAGGGAGAGTGAGCCCAGGTAATGCCGCTCTAATTGGCATCGATTGCATGGCATCTTTTTTTACCCACACACGCGTCCAATTAAGTGGAATTACCCTGAATTACCCTGGCCGTGGCAAATGCAAAAGTTCACGGCCAATAGGTCAGGTTTGGCATTAATTTTCCTTTTTCTTTTTTGTCTTCCTGCCGCTTGTCCGTTTGCTTACATTCCTGCTCACCTCATTCGTGCAAATATACTTACATCTTAAATACATAGTAATGCCGGACGTAGCCGGTAATTGCATTATCGCAGCCGTATTCTAACGTATTCTTGCGTATTCCGATGCGATTACGCCGCGTTACGCCCACCCGTCAGCGAATGGCCCCTCATTTGAAATTCATCAAATTGCCTGGCAATTAAAGTAATCAGAGAAGCGCGCACAATGTCCTGTTCCTGTTCCTGTTCCGGACTCGGGCCCGTGTCCTTTTCCTTCTCCATTTACCTTACAGCGCCGTTCCCTTGGCTTCTCAGATACTCTGTCTTGCAGCGGGCACTGCTAAAAAATTTATGCGATTGCTGTCATTGGATTAATTGTTGCTTGCGTCTTTGAAGGAATTTTTAATTTTATTTATTTATCATGCACCTTAACTCTTTGGTTTTCTTTTCTGAGAAAAGGCTTTATATTTGTAGCTGTATTTTTTATACCGTTTAATTAGTTTTTGTTGATATTTTATAGTTATTTTTCAAATACGTAGTTATAAAACGAATACTATCTGCAGTTTAGCTCCGAATTATCTTTTTTTTTAATAATAAAATCTTAAGATTATAAATTATAAATATTATTATATTTTGTATAAGGTTGTTGTTCATAAATTTAAAGAAAATTTTTAGTTTTTTCAGAAATTTAAGAATCCATTTAAGAATAATAACGGTGCGTATGAGTAATATTTTGTACTAAGATTAAAATATCACTCATACGCACTGTGGACTCTTAAATTTCTCACAAAAACTAAAAATTCACTTACCCGAATTAACTAAAATATATAAATAAATTCTCTGTAGAACTAGTAAATCATTAAAAAAGGATGTTATAAATATTTTTTTATATAAATCCAGAATAATGTTCTAGTTGAAATAATTGTTTTTGTTATGATTAGAAAAATGGTTTATTTATTTTTTACAAGTAAATGTTGAAATTTGTATAAAGTATATATAGTTTATAGCCAAGAAATGTGTAGATCCTATGAAAATGCACTGCAAGATGGCTTCTATTTACCGTTGGCTTTTTCCTGTGCACACACATACATCCTCGTACGCGGGAAAAAAATTCGCATATGTGTGAGTGTGTTCATGTGCGTTCGTGAATGCTGTATGCTGTATGTGTTGCGCCCTTTTTTGTTGGGTAACAAACATATGTTTGGGCACCGCTTCCATTTACAATATGGCTGCCATGGCAGGGGATTTAATGCTGTGTATGGGGATTCTCCTCTGTTCCTCCTCCTCTTTCACCGTTCTCTTGGTGCTCAGCACAGCTTAGCACCGTTACTGCTGCTGCTGCTGTTTGTGTTGTTGTTGTTGTGTGTTCTGTTGCTGGCAGCAAATTAAAGGAGCACCCCATGCACTCGCACACACTGCCATCCATCCTGCTCTGCGAGAGAGAGGCATTGCCTTTCATCGTCCCATTTGCCATCTCACTTGTTCTCACTGGAGTCAGGCCTCCAGCTCTCGCTCTTCTCGCCTTGCTTCGTTTGCCTCTCTCTCTCGTTTCTTTCGCTCCATTCGCATTGCGTTTCATTTTTCTGTTGCCCTGTCATCAGCTGTTTTATGTTGTTCAGGGTCAAGTGTGCGACGTGTACGTGCGCCTGTATTGGTAGCGTCGCAGGTGTCACTCCCTCGCTCCGTCTCGCTTCCGCTGCTGCTGCTGCTGCTGCTGCTGCTGCTGCTGCTGCTGCCACCCGTTGTTGTAGGTTATAATTCAAGGAAGTTTTTTAGCATCGAGTCAAGGTTACAGCACAGGCAGGCACACTGCGAGTGCCCGTGACTGTGGTTGTGGTTGAGGTTGAGGTTGTAACAGTGCCTGTGCCTGCCACCGCATAATCACATGTGCATGTGCATGTGCATGTGCCCGTCGCTCCTAGTTTCTTCTTGTTTATTGAAATGTTTTTCCACTCCTGAGTCGCCGGCAATCGCAAATTGCATTGAGAATTGAAAATAAACAACTTAGTACATGTGCCGATGTGCTCGAATGCGCTTCACCTTTCCATAACACACACACACATAGAAATGTGGTTTCTGCCCTTTCAGTTCTGTAAGTTGTAATCAGAAATGGATTCCACTTCTTTTTCCAATATAAAACAAAGTTTTCCTACAATTACATCAATAACTCTGATACTTTACAAAGAATTCAGAGAGGAAGAAAATTAGAAATACTGATTAATTTAAATTGAATTAAAATGTGAATTTCAAGATGTCTTAGATATAATTTTTAACTTTATTTAATTATCATGCATATGAACTCTTTTGTTTTTATTTCTGAGAGTAGTCTTTATATCTGTAGCTGTATTTTAATAAATTTTTTGCTGTTTTTACGTTACTTTTCAAATACGTAGTTATAATACGAATACTATGTAGCAGCAGTTCATTAATTATAGCTCCCAATTCTCTTTTTTTAAATAACAAATTCTTAAGATATTTTTAATTACGTAAAAAATTAAATTACAAAAACATGTTCAGTTTTTTTCAGAAATTTAAGAGTCCAAAGAGGTAACATTGCGTATGAGTAATATTTTTTACTAAGATTAAAATATCACTCATACGCACTGTGGATTTTAAAATTTCTGAAAAACTAAACATAACTGAAATTGCAAAAAAATATTCATAAATTCTCTGTAGCACTATTTTATCCTTAAAAAAGAATGTTGGGAAATTTGTTTTATCCAAATCAAGAGAACAAACTTAGTTCTAGACGAAATTGAATTTAATGTAAATTTATTATTAAATGTATTTATAAATAAACTTAAGAAATTTGTCGCGAAATTTCATCTATAAATTGATATTTTATGATATATTTGTGCAAAAAATGAATATTGGTTTTGAATTAATAAATTTAATTTCATTTTTCTTTATAAAATGTTATTGTTAATATGTATTTTTGTTCATTAGGTTGACATATTTAACAAGAATTTAAAGAAGTAAGAATAAAAAGAAAAATCCATGAGGCTAAAGTGGCGTATGAGTAATATTTTATAATTCTTATCGTATGAGTTATATTTTCTTAATCTGATTAAAATATCACTTATACGTAGAACTGAATTTGGAAAAAAACCTGAATAAATAATAATTTCATTGCAATTTCCTGGAATAAAGCGAGAAGTAAATTAAATAAATAAATTAAATAACATATTCAATTCGTAAAATATTTAATTAAAAAAGCTACAATTGAGAAAGGAAAATTTTTGCGAATTTTTAAGAAAAAAAAGTTGTTGATAAATTAAATGCTTTTGTAATTGGAACACTGTTGCAATTTCCCTTATCGATTTTGTTTATGTTCTTGCCACAAGTCCCGAGTCCTTGTCCAGGACATTGGCGGCCCATGTCACGTAGCAGCGTAAATCCTTTATTTCCATTCTAATTAGAAGAGCGCCGCTCCTCTGTCTCCTTCTTAGACCCTTTCCAGTTCGTGGTCCCTTTATCCGATTAGCATATTTTGTACATAGAACAATGCCAAGGCATACATACATGGTAGCCAAAATATACAGATGTCCTTGTATTTATAATAATAACAATGAAATATAGTAAAGTAGTAGTAATAAAGAAGTAGTAAAATATATAAAAAGAAATAAATTATATTAAATTCTAAAAATTGATTTAAATTCAACGCTTTTCGTAGTTAGTTTATCATATTGCCTTAAAGGAAATGTGTTAAATAGTTACACTTTGTTGTGTCCTTGCCATAGACCGAGACCTTTTAACTGCTGACAACTTTCGATAGACAGGCAACTCAATTTCCTGTTTGCATCGTTGATTAAAAAACTTTTTTATAGTACGTATACGCACCGTATACCCGCGCACACAAACGCAACAAACTCGCTTTTATATGGCTGTATACATATACATATACATATACATATACATATATGTATGCGTGTAGTGGTGGGGCGATTTTGTGCACGGGAGCAAACAGGACAAAAATTGACAGCGATGACAAAATGATTGACGTCGGTCTGAACGGGCAGAAGGGAAGGGAAGAAATACAAAATAAATACAGAAAATCCCAGACGAGGCGGGAGAGCGGAGGCACTGCGGCATGTGCAATCAATCAAAGCATACTTATTGGGGCTCCTTTGCGAGGACTCCTTGGGGAGTGGCCCAGGGAGTGGAGCCAGGGATTATCAATAACCACACTAAAGGCAAATAAGTAACAAACCAATTAAGTCAAGTTCCCTTCCAAGTCATATATATTTAATTTCCATTTATCTCAGTGTACTGATATCCTTTTCGCTTTTATTCCTTTCAGCGGAGAGTGAGCTAAAGGAGCGGCTAATAGCCAGCGTAAAGAAGGAGGTGAAACAGCTGATGGAGGAGGCAGTGACCAAGAAGTATGTGCACGAGGAGAGCAGTTCGGTAACCTCGCTCTGCGGTGCCGTGGAAGCCTGCCTGAGTCATGGCCTCCGGCGACGTGCCTTGGGCCTCTTCAAGACCTCATCCACAACGGCACTGATCCAGAAGATAGCGAAAATATGCCCGGAGGCAGACTATGTAAGCCGGCGACTGCTGGAACTGGAGCTTGCCCAGGAGAGTCATGCGGTGAGCGGCAAGCGTTCGTCCTCCAGCAGTGACAGTATAATCAAACCGAAGCTGCTGAGCAAGGGCAGTGGGAGCAGCAGCTCGGTGACCACCATCAACACGGTTTCCAATGGCGGCGCCGGCGGCGGTGGTGTCGGGAACATAGCACCGCTGGGCAAATACCTTTGGATACGACTGGCCCTCTACGAGAAGCGGCTGGCCAAGATCATAGAGCATTTGGTGGGCAATGCCAGTAGCTACTACGATCGCGAGGCCCTGGTTGCCGATCCGGACTATGGTTCCATCCTAAGTTCCCTGCTGGTTGGTCCCTGCGCCCTGGAGTTTACCCGGGCCAAGACTGCCGACCATTACTGGTCCGATCCCTGTGCCGATGAGTTGGTAAGTTTACATTGCAGGTGTTGCAGTCCATTTGATTTTAATCTCTGATTCCCTTTGGCAGGTGCAACGTCACAGGATCAGCTCCGGCAACCGGACACCGCCCACCACCCACCGGCCCATCATTAACTTTAAGCGCAGCCTGCACACCAGCTCCGAGGATACGAGCAGCGGCAGCTTTAAGGCCAGCTCGCCGGCGAGCGTGGCCAAGGATTATGTGGAATCATTGCATCAGAATTCGCGCACCACCCTGCTCTATGGCAAGAATAATGTCCTGGTCCTGCCCAAGGATGTGTCGGAGCCGATGCCCGGCTACCTGAGCCTGCACCAGAGCGTTCAGTCACTTACCATCAAGTGGACGCCCAACCAGTTGATGAACGGCTACAACGATGGCGATGGCGGTGACAAGAGCTTTTACTGGGGCTATGCCCTGAACATCAACGTGGATGAGATCGTGTATGTCCATTGCCATCAGAATCGTGGTGGTGACACCGGTGGCACCATCATTCTTGTCGGTCAGGACGGTGTTCAGCGTCCACCGATCCATTTTCCAGAAGGCGGTCATCTGCAGGCCTTCCTTAGCTGCCTGGAGACGGGTCTTTTGCCGCACGGTCAGCTTGATCCGCCTCTGTGGTCGCAACGGGGCATCGGGAAACTCTTTCCATGGCCCAAGAGCGTGCGTCGTCACATCCTGCCCTCGGTTATGGAGGCGGGCTCCACCGCCGATGAGATGCCCATCGATTATGTCTTCCGCGTGGTCAGCAAGTGCCAGCACGAGGAGTTTCGTAAGTAGACCTAAGCTTGAGGACTATCATTATCATTGATTTTTTTTGTTTTAAAATATCCATTTCCAGTGGCCACCCATCCCATCCTGGAGCTGGGCCGGTCAAGTCCTAGGAGAAAGCACCTGGGCAGCTGCTCCACCACTGGTAGTAGTGATTGCTCCAGCAAGAGCCTCTCGATTGACCAGAGCAGCTGCGAGACACCCCTGATCCAGGCCAGCCAGAGCACCAGCATCGAGCTGGTCTGCTCTACGATGAGACGTCAGATCATCTCCAGGGCCTTCTATGGCTGGCTGGCCTACTGCCGGCATCTCTCCACAGTGCGGACGCATCTCTCCGGCCTGGTCAATGGTCGCATAATGCCGGACTGTGAGTTCCAAAGGAGCTCTCTCTTTCTCTTAGAAAACTTATTCTGATTCTGGTTCTTTTCCCCTTAAGTGGCTGCCGACGAGGAGGGCTTAACCCGCGACAAGTGGCTGGCAATGCATGAGGATGGCGTTGTATCCGGCGAACTGGAGCTGTATCGTCTGGTTTACTTTGGTGGCGTTCAGCCCGATCTTCGCAAGGATGTGTGGCCCTATCTGCTGGGCCACTATGCCTTTGGATCCACGCCGGAGGAGCGACGAAAGCAGGATGAGACTTGCAAGCACTACTATGAGACCACGATGAGCGAATGGCTGGCGGTGGAGGCCATTGTTCGTCAGCGGGAGAAGGAGAAGACCGCCTTGGCGGTGGCCAGGCTCAGTGCCGAGCAGGCTCGTCTGGCAGCAAACGCTAATCCCAACTCCAATGACCTCAATCCCCACGAGAAGCTCACGAATGGCACTCGCCAGTTGGAGCTGGAGCGACAACAGAGGAATGGCGATGGAGAGGCGGATCACTTGGCTCTGGATGAGGGCGAGAACGATGTGTTTGATGACAATGACTTCTCCGATATATCCGATCCGGGTGATCTATTCGATGAGCCAGAAATGGCCCGGGAAGCGGAAGAGCAAGAGCCAAAAGAGGATGTGGCTCCAGATCTGGCAGAGGACGATCTGGGTGAACGGGTTATACCTCAGCTTAGTGAGCAGCTGGTTCTCGAGTTCCAGAATATCGACAACATGGAACCGTTGCGTCTCCAGGAGAACTGCTTCGCCGATTCCGAGACCGAGAACGAGTTTGGCCTGAGCCTGGACGGTAGCGGTAACATCTTGATGTTGAGCATCAAGAGCTCGCCCTCCACCAGCAGCTATGAGACGGTGGGAAATGAGTTTGTTGACATGGCCGAGGCCAAGCTGGAGGAGGAGGAACCGCTGGGACAGCTCAGCAAGTTTCACAGCGCCGACGATGTGAGGTTGGATGAGCAGGAGCAGGAGCAGGAGCAGGAGCCAGAGCAGGAGCAGGAGCCAGAGCAGGATGAGGAGCACTCGCAACCGGGCACTTCGGTTATCATCACAGAAGCGGCCTCGTTAGATGCCCTGGACGACGATCCCACCGAGGAGTTTACCTCGCGCAAGACCAGCCTGATGTCGCCCCTCAATGAAGACATCACGGTGGTGGCTTCATTGGATGCCCTGCAGGAACCCAAATCCGCCTGCGTCTCCCCGGCCAGTTCCAATGGTGGCGTCTACAGCGTTGAGTTGCTCGAGCAGTTTGGTCTGAATCTGCATCGGATCGAGAAGGATGTGCAGCGCTGTGACAGGAACTATTGGTACTTTGCCAATGAGAATCTGGACAAGTTGCGGAACGTGATCTCCACGTATGTGTGGGAGCATTTGGATGTGGGCTACATGCAGGGCATGTGTGATCTGGTGGCTCCACTCCTGGTCATCTTCGACGACGAGTCACTAAGCTACAGCTGCTTCTGCAAGCTCATGGAGCGCATGATCGAGAACTTTCCCAGCGGAGGGGCAATGGATATGCACTTTGCCAACATGAGGTGAGAGATATCCAGACTATAGACTATTTATATTCGATATTAATAGAGATTTGTGTATTCAGATCCCTCATCCAAATCCTCGACTCGGAGATGTACGATCTGATGGACTCGAATGGGGACTATACGCATTTCTACTTCTGCTATCGCTGGTTTTTGCTGGACTTTAAGCGGGAGCTGGTCTACGATGATGTCTTTGCCACCTGGGAGGTGATCTGGGCGGCCAAGCATATAGCCTCTGGTCACTTTGTCCTCTTCCTGGCACTGGCTCTCCTGGAGACCTATCGTGACATTATCCTTTCGAACAGCATGGACTTTACCGATGTCATCAAGTTTTTTAATGGTATGAAACAAAGTCTTTTCTTGGTTGTGAATGAATTTAAGAAAGTATCCTGTATCTTAAGTTCTAGAGGAGTTCGGGCAGTTGTACCTTGATATATATCTTGTTAATATATTTCTACTTTTATTTACAGAAATGGCTGAACGTCACAATGCCCAATCGATCCTGCAGCTCTCCCGGAGTCTGGTCCTTCAGCTGCAGACCATCATCGAGAATAAGTAAAGTCCATCCGTGTTCGTCAGTCATCCATTTCCAGTTCCTGGATTCCTCAGTTCGCGACCATACTTCCCCCTGATCAGTATTGAGCCTGCGATGTACTAAGAGTAGCCCAGCACTTAGATCATAGATTTATAGATGTAGCATCGTAGAGTTGTTGGCTAGCAAGCGCTTATAGATACATATATACCATTACATGACATATATAACATATACCATGCAGCATATAGCATAGAAGCATATAGCATAGCCCCAACATAACATACAATAACATTACTTACCTGCGCACCCGTAGAGATTGCAATTAGGCTGAAGGCCCTCGCTGAGGTTTTTTGGGATGTTTCCCGCAATCCTTAATGGTTTTTTTTGTATTGTATTTGGAAAACGGCTGGGAATCGCTTCGAAGGCGACAAATGTGTTTAATGAACATTTTAGAGAAACTAAGGAAATTAAGGAAATTGTAGTGACCTGAAAAAAAAGAAAACTAAATACAGAAGAAGGCAAGGAATATCGAAAATCAAGTGGAAATCGAACAACGTAAATGATAAACTATTTATACTTATACAATATACATGCATATATATATATACTGGTAATATTATATAGAGACACTGGCAGACATGCATATATGTACATGTGTAGAGGCAGTTGCATATTTATACGTTTTGTATATTCGAGTGAACGATGGATATTTGGGGATATTGTATTAGATATCATATATATATATAGGGCAATGCTGTGTGGCTGCTGATAGCGGCCAATTGTTGTTACTGTTATGTTATCGATCTGGCAAGTAATCAGATATATACACAAACAATATATACATATATATATTGAAAGATATTGAATTGCTATTGTTTGCTTGGTCATAGTTATGTTATCCCTTGTTTTCTTTTAAGTTTTGTTAGCTGCAAGCGGTGCAGTTAATTCCATTAAACAAATTAAAATAAAACAAAAATTTATATATATTGTTGAGGCAGACAGTTAAGATGAGTTGTATTGAGTTACGAAAATGGAAAATTATATACATAAATGTATGTACAATATACAAAAGAATATTAAGCGAATGTTTATAGATATATTAACTATACAAGCATATAGAAAAACAGAATGTGTTAACCGTGTATTTGTTATAATCAAGCCTGATTTGTTGCTATTTGTTTTGCTATGAACTCTCAGGCTAAATACCTTGTTTCTAATCGAATCGAATCGAATCGAATCGAATCTGTTAAGGAAACAGAATCCTTGTTGTTTTTATTTTTGGTAAGTGCTGGCGCACCAAAAATCCCTCCACTGGGCTAACATATATATTTATATATACATATATTTACATTATATATAATATGTATATATATGTATATATGTATAAACAACTTATATGAAACTATAGAGCAGGCACTTTGTGTGAAATCTAAGTTAAAGCAAGTAGCACGCTTTTTGTGTATAGAACAAACAGCAAAAAAACACTAAAAACAAAAAAAACTTAATGTGATTTCTTGTTGCTTCTTTGAATATTGGATATTTTTGTAAGCGCTAAAAAATATATATATATATACACAAATAACGAACGAGAGGGAAATGGCGACAGGCAACAGACAGAGAGAGAAAAGATATATTTTACACTTGCCGAAAAAGAAATGCTAAAACTGAAAGTCGGTAGAGTCCAAGCGAAATTTTAGCCACACTTTTGATACACATATTCGACAAAAAGATCTACTGATCCACCAGAATGAAAACAAAACAAATAAAAAATAAAAAAGAAAAAAAAACAAAACGAAATACATCGTTATATTATATTGTATCGTATTCAAGCTAAGCTACATACATAATATATATGTATTACATATATACACACATATATATATTTATATATGCGTCTGTGTAGAGATGCCACCTATATAGAGCCCGAGCATATAGAATATTACATAACCCACAATTGTAACCACATATATAGCATACGCATACATATTACGGATAACCTATGTTCCAAGCGACATCTCACAGACCAGAGAATTAGCAGCAAACCACAAAAAATATAATACAATACATAATATAATAATAATACAAATTACATAAAAAATAAAATAACACGAAACGTCAATGTATAATTTACCAAAAACAAAAACCATGAAGAGAATAACAAAATAAAACGAAATTATGTAAAATGTTTACAAGAAAGCCACATGAATTTTAATATTTAATTAACTTATAATCCTTTCTATTACGAAGCTATGTATGTAGGTTTCCTCCGCAAATTTCAATTAATTACTAATTTTTTTATAAGAATTTATTATTTTATGTTGCACATTTCCCTTGTAAAGAAATTTCCAAATTATATCCAAATAAGTTCTAATGTTTTCCATTTTCTATAGAGTATGACTTATTAACCTAATAATCACTAGCACAGGAGAGTTATTTGGAATTAAATTAAATTATATGCTTTTTGGGCTTATTTATGAGTTCTTTACTATTGATTTAAAAAATTCGAATAACTTAAGCTTAGTTATGATCCATTTCCGATTCGATCCTATATTTCAATTGCTTACCCAAAGTTAATTTTTGTATTTTTGATTTTAAATTATTATTTATTTATTTATATTTACTTATATTTATTAATTAATTTACCCTTATTATTTTCGTTATTTTTCTATTTATCTATTTATAGTTGTTTTTATATTAATGTTTTTACTGTTTCTTTACTTACTTATTTTATTTATTTGTTTTCAAAATTTTTATATTAATTGGTATACGTAGGACTTTACAGATTATTTATTTATTTTTTTAAGGCATCGCTCAAATATTTACCCATTCATATATTTATTTCTTAATTTTTTTTACTTATTTTATTATTTACTAAACCAAGAGCCCTTTAAACAGACTGCCATCATTTTTGGGATCTTGAAAATATTTTGCCCTGCTCAGTGGGGAGCCCACAAATTGGTTAAAGGAATTCCGTTCATCTTAGCCAACACTGGCATTCGGCTCCCACCTGAGACCGTAATTGAAAATATTTCGGTACACACAAATTCACAGTGTGCAGGTTATGTTAAGCGCTCTAATGGCTCCAACGGGGGGTGTTTTTCGGAGCAGGGTTATGGGGTCTCGGGTCTTGGGCCTTGAGTTTTTTTTTTATTTATTTTGGGGGTGGTGGCCAAGGGCTGAGGGTTACGGACTACCTGGCCAGTGCGCAGACTCAATGCGAAGCAACAGCGGGCCACGAATTATTCCGAAATGTTCTTAGCCAAAATTTGGGCCAGACTTGGTGTGCGTGTGTTTGAAGGGTGGGTGTACTTGGAACTGGAGCTGGGTTTTGTGGAGGGTGAGTGGATGAGGGGGATGTCCTGTTGCTTGTGGCTGGATTTTGCGACGTCAGCAAACTGCCAGCGTGAACGATTCACCTACGTACATACCTACTACAGAGGAACACCAGCGCTCACAAATATAGTGATCGCTATTAAATATTCAGTATAATAGTGATGATTATAATAATGATTAGATATGATATAAAATCTTATATCATAATATTAACTTTCAGAAACACGCAATAATATCATGTAGAAGGCCTGTCAATTAAAGGTTTTTTCAACGTGAGTATGTGAATATAAATTATTTATTATTAAAATAGAATTTGGTAACGCTTAAATCCAACATTTAGCCATTCGTGTCCCGATAAATTTTAAAGTGTCAGTAAAATACCAACATAAATAATCAACAATTTTTAAACTTGTTAAATCCTTAAACGTAGTCCTTCGTCTATTAATTTAATTTTATTTGTTATAAATATTATTTTATTAAATAAAGTTTATGCAAATTTGTGATATATACATAGTTAACCCGTATTGTGCGCTTATACGTATGTATATGTGTGTAGTGTGAAAGTGGAAGAGAGATGGCAATGACCGAAGGACGAAACGCGAAAAGCTTTCGTATAGAAATGTAACGGTAACATTTTAGCCGGGGAAAATGGTGCGAGAGAGCAGGGGAGAACACTGATTCAGTTGTTGCTGCTGCGGCACATGTTGCTGCTGCTGCTGTTTGTTGTTGCTGCAAATGTTGCTGGTAATTATTGGTGTTGCCAATGCTCATCATTAGATATGGACGCTTGTTCGAATTTTTTGAAAATTTAATTATTATTATTTTATTAATAATAATTTTTAACTTCACTATAACAATATTCTCTAGATTTATATTTAATAAGTTATGTTAAAAAGGGACTTTAAAGTTAAGGTTAAACCCAAAAGATTTTGTTTGCTTAAGGTAAAATAAAACCCCCAAAATTAATTTATTACTAATTTTATAAAAAAAGGCACGAGCTCAACTCTAACTTCCTTGACAGCAATGTTGCTAATGTGTATATGGTGGGATTAATCGTGTAAACAGTGCTGTTGGTGTAGCTGTAAATATTGTTGCTAGAGTTTTTAATGTTCTTCTCTGTTGATTCTACAGATATGACTGTATATATACAATGTTGCTGTTGCTGTACTGATGTTGCCGCCGAAGATGTTGCTCCAGACAGTGTTGTCAGGATATGACCATCCGTATGAGCTTGATTCTGTATAAAATAAGCTAAAACAGGCTAAATATATAAAAAGGGAATGCTAAAAATCAAGCTATAAACAATAATTTATACATTAATTTAATTACGTGAGATTCGATCCTAAAACAGCACAATTTGAATATTAAAAAACGTTGAATCTAGTGGGAAAAAATTAATCATCACCATTTCCGTAAATACAGGCAGTATTTATATTTTTTTTCATAATTAATAATTTCTTTTATAATTAGTATCTATATTTATCTGGTTTAATATATACTATGTATGAATTTATTTAGGTAAAAATAATATTTATTTTAACTTATGACTTTTCAGTGATAAAATATATATTTAGTAGGGAAAATTTAATTTCAAATTCAGCAATAATTTTCTATCGTACATTATCATCAGCAGCAGCTTGAAGCGCTTGAACAATATTGATCAAAACTTGAGGCTATGAAAAAAATGTCTTAAAATTCAATTCGAACAGAAAAATGGTAACAACAAAAAATTATTGAAAATGATATTAATGTCTATCAGCTAGTTGCAAATTTCATAAGCTTTTCCCATTTTGAAATGTGCCAAATTTAGCTTGAATTAAGCTAAAGTGGCAACAGTGCTTCCGGCCGTTGTTCTGGCGCTTGTGCCTTCATTCCATGTTGGCCTCCAGTTCTGTCGCAGTCCCAGTCTCAGTCTCAGTTTTGGAGTTGGTCGCGTGCACACGCGCTTTTCCTGGGAAAACATCCGAAAAACGACGACATCGACGACGCTGCCGCCGTTCGCTGGAAAAGCGCCCGGAGATATGCTACACACATTTGCCTAAATTTTTTTTTGTGTTGCCGTGTTACCTTAGTCGGTCAGTGAGTCGTCGTCAGTGAGTTTGTGCGTTTTTCCCGCATTTGTTGTTATTGTTTTTATTTGCTTCGACGAAAAGAAATGGCGGCCCCGGCGGCTGCCGAATTACTTTTAAAGGATAGCAACTAGTGCGTCAGCGAGGGCACGGAGCGGAGAGGAGGAGAGGAAAGCGTGTAAAGCGTGGAAAAGAGGGGAAAAGAGGCTGCCTGCCACAGGCGAAACTTTGCTCTCTGACAGCTCTCAGACACTCGGCATACGCAAAACAAATACAAATTTTCAAAAAAAAAAAAACATCTTACGCGCGCGTGTGTGAAAAGCAGAGGAACAGAGAACAGAGGGGGAGGAGACGACGTGACGGCGAGAGGCGAGAGGCAAGAGAACGAGGGAGAGGAAAAGCTTTGGGCAAACTCCGCAAGCCCAAAACACACGCCCACGCACACCATTGCGCCAGCACACGGCACACGCACACAGCTACAAAAATGGTGCAAACCAATGCAGGTAATAAAAGTGATCACCCCAAAGCACCATAATCCCACCGTACCCCACCGCTCACCCCCCTTCTGTCTGCCCTACAACCAAGCAAAAAAAAAAAATAATATATCTCAATTTCGCTCCAACTTGCACGCTAGGGTGTTCTTTTATTTGGAGAATATATATTTTTGTTTGCTGTAAACTTGAAAAATGTCTTCCTTATCATAGTATTTTCCAACACTGTACCATTTTCTAGCATTTCTATGTTCATTAAATAAGTAAAACACATTTACCAAGTCCTTACTTTACTATTTACCAAAATAAATATCCTAAAGTCAACCAAATCATTTACATTTTCAATGATTCCTTACCAGAACGGTAGTGTTTTTTTTTAAATGTCTTCGTTTTTTAACTTAACAAAACTGGCATTAAAATAAACTGAAACAAATAAAGTTTCGATTTTCTCTGGATAATATTATAAGTGATTAAAGAACAATATGAAGTTTTTGAATAAATAGAGAAAGACTTTATTTTAGGTTCAACTTTGGCAAACAACAAACAATGCCGTAATGAAATTTAGGTAAATTTAATTTAGGAAACAAATTTGTAAGAAAAATGCAATAGTGCTTATTAATATTCCACCTGAACATACTACTTTGGTGCCATTTAAAGTTAATTTTTTGTTTTTATTTAGTGCGAGAAAAAAGTATTATGTTGCGTATACGTGATAATATTACGTATACGTAATAACAATATACGAATCCATTGTTATTTATTAAAAATCGAATTGAAGCTCAAATTCAAACTCAAATAGTACCAAATAAAACACTATAATTTTTTTGAAAATTTTAAATTATTATGTTGCGTATACGTGATAATATTACGTATACGTAATAACAATATACGAATCCATTGTTATCGGTTAAAAATCGAATTGAAGTTTAAATTCAAAGTCAAATAGTACCAATTAAAGCGCTATAATTTCCTTGAAAATGTAAAACTATTACTATAAACTATGTTACGTATACGTGATAATATTACGTATACGTAATAACAATATACGAATCCATTGTTAGAAGCAAATAAAGAGTACTGGCAAATTTAAAGTGAAATGGTACCAATTAAAATACTAAATTTTCCTTGAAATATAAATAATGTTGTGAAATATTGTTTTAACATACTTATTTTATATTTATATTTATTCCTTTTACCGCACAGTTCTTGTATACTTCCTGGTAGTGTTGTATATTTTTTTCTGAAATTAAATTCGGATAAACAGCGACAACGAGTCACCCTGCTGGGACAGGTGCACACGTGTGTGAGCCAGATAATGTCTGCATTCGGGGCTGCATCGCTGCTATTCGCTATGAAATGGCATATTTTATATTTTCCCAAGAATTTCGTGTCTCTGCACACTCGTTGCGGCTAAAGCGTTGAAAGCACCATGCAAATACATATACATATACATATATGTACATAGTATATCCTCGTATTTTATTCAGGTGTTTGGGCAGATGCCCGGGCGATTTTCCGTCAGCGCTTGGCTGAACATCCATTCGAGTGTTCCTGTGTCTGTGTCTGTGTCTATGTCTATGTGTTAGTATTAATGTGGGTCTGTGGTGCATTTCCTGCTAATCCCTGGCAATCAATGCAGCACAAACTCCTTTATCCGAACGGCATAGCCAAGGACACGGGTATAAGGCAATTTAATCAGACTCCGTTCTTTGCACAATTTATCTGCACAACTTGTTTGTATGCGTTTGGGATAAGCCCAGGATTACAGTGAGGGTATTAAAGTTGGGGCTAGCAGGTGAAGCCACAAGAAATCTTTCATATAAGGGTTCTTAAGTTATATTTTTAATATTTGTATAATATGGCTATACTAGCTGGTTTTCTTTAGTTGCATTTTACCTCTAAGTAGAGTAGAGTGGTGGCCCTTTCCCTAAACCACTTAATTGATTTTTGTTCTAATCTGCAAGTGGTTTTTCGCTAAAATACTTTAAACGAAACTTGTGGGGCAGGAAATTCCTATTTAATAAATTCCTATTTATAAACATAGGTAAAAGCAAGGCTTACATTTGTATTTCATTAAAGAGAAATAATTGCCAACAACTCTATATTGAAAAATAATAATGTAATAAAGAAATAAAGGCAGTAGACCTAAAATGTTCTAAACTGTCGTGAAGGGAAAGGTGAGAGTGTTTTCAATATTATTAAAAACAAACTAATCATTTTACACCGCTCCCATTAACGTACTAATGTGTTTGTTTAAAAATTAACAATTCTTCTTAAATAATTGTGACTGGATTACAAACAGAGTATGTTTACAATATAATAGTATAATAATACTTATATTATAGTATAATAATATAATATAATAGTATAATAATATAATAATACTTATAATAGTATAATAAAACTTATGTGGGCTCACTCTTCCACAAGGGACCAAAAATATTGTTAAGCTATGTGGTCCTTGGTTGCATAGTGGCCTCTTTAATGTTTAAAAAATAGCCATTTTTGTGTCAATTAACAAGTATTGTTAAATAACAAGTATTGTCAAGATTCTGGGCACCGAAAATCTGTTCATCTATCTGGAAAGCTATGACATTGATTTGGATCCGTACCTGAATCATGAACATGTTCGTGGGAACAGTTCGCAAACTAGGACAATCAACATCTGGCTTATTTTAATAAATTATTATATAAATAATACAAATCATCAAAAAATCAAGGAAAGCGCCCTTACTTTAATAAATCCAATGATCAGCCACAAGAGAAAATGGATACCAAATGGAAGATCAGGCACAGGAGAATCTTAATGATGACTCTGACGAGGCATTTGAGTTAATAGAAATATTAGACAATTAGAAAATAATGATATTCCTGATCAGATCAAAAAAGAAAACCTATATGTGAATTTTCCCCCACTAAAGAGTAATCAATAAAAATCGAATCCTCGTCAAACTGTTGCTACTTTTTCTGTGTGTGTGTTCCTTGTCATATTTCTACTTGCCAGACATATGGCATCCTGCGGCATTGCCTACACTCTTCTCCTAAGCCCGGGTATGTCCGCTATCCACTGTCCTTTGTCCGTTGTCTGGAGTCCAGTGTGGAGGAGGAGGAGAGAGAGAGAGAGTCCTGACACTGACTGATGAGCAAGGATGCGGGACATTTCGTTGGCAACGGCGGGCAAGGCGTAAAAGTTTTATGAATGAACCATGATTGGCCGCATCGAATATGGCGGAATATGACGGAAACATGGGTGGTAGCCAAGACGGGTGGGCGTTTGTTTATGTTTTATTTGGCGGCCTTGCCTTCTACCCGGTGGGCGGTCACAGCTGATGGATGCACCCACACACACAAAAGCAGAGCAACGACGTGGCTATGATGGCAACGATGGCGATGGCGATGGCGATGGCGCTGATGTGGCCATCATCAATTGCTCAATTATGGCATTAGCTAAAAGCCAAGAGCTGTTGGACTCTAGACTCTAGGACTTAACTCGACCTCGATGACTTGCTGAAAGTTATTTTCCCAATGCCAACAAATCCTAAAAGGAGTGAACCTAAAAAAAAATAAAGGAATAAGAGCTTTCAGCTGGCTTAATACGGTGTAAATCTGCACTCTGGGGAGGTTCGTTACAACTGCGACCTTAAATATATGTACAAATATGTGGAAACATATGTGAAAACTATATGAATCCTTAGGTTCTTTTGTAAATTTACAACTCAGTTAATATCAACTTAAGACATGTCGTTAGGATTAAAGGTTCAAAGATCCCCAAAGGATGGATCCCTGTTGAAGAGTTTTGAAATATGCTGCTGCTTATTAAGGGTTCACCTTAAAGGACACACGACTGTGCGCTTAACGTCCCGTTGACAGTTACAGAGGTCAAATGGTGAGCGATGCATGTGTGCCTGTATATGCCTCCTTATATATGTATATGTGTGTGTGTGTGTGCTTGTGTGAGTGACACGTGCTTGCAAAAGTACTGGCCATAAAGTATTGCATACTTTCCAGCGTCTTTGGAGGAATGATGAACTTGAAGCATAAATTGTAGCGTGCAACCATAAAGTTCGTCGTGGTTGGTGAGGATCTGGGCTGCTGGGGCACGCTTTATTTTTCCGGCTCTAGCTCGTCGGCTTTGGGGGTGGAGGTCTTGCTCACCCAGATCTCGGACAACGACTACACATTATTATTACAAAGACTAGAATTGAGCGTGCTGCGACAAAATAAAAGCTAGAACAAAACCGGAAGAAATGATAAACAAAATTCACACAACATAAAGAAGACAGAAGAAAAGCGGAAGTAGAGAGAAGAGAAGACAGAGAGAAAATCTATACAATGCAGAGACACAGATGTTGTTGTGCTCGCTTTGTGCCCACCCAACCTACGATCACCTGCCGCAAGAGCATGGCTCTGGTGATCCCTTCAGGACCCTACGACCGTGGAGTCATCCTACGAGTCGGTATATACCGGTTTTTAAGCTAACATGATTTTTAAAATTAAAACAGGTTTAATGAAATTAATTCAATACTTAAAGCTAACAAAGATAAATGTAAGCTAAAATTACAATGTATAAAATTGAGGAGGTGCATAGATGTACATATATGTGTTTAAAAATTGTGCACAAAATTCAAAAGAAATAATTTTTCTTAAAAGTTTAAATCAAATTTAAATTGTATTATTAAATGTTCGTTTACTTCATGTTTTCTCTTTTCTATTAACTATTAAAATAAATTTACTTCATGTCTTTAGTTCATTTCAATTTCAATTTCAATTGTTGCATTAGCTTATGGAGATTTTATTTTTGTATATTTTAAATAAAATCATTTTAAATTGTTTAAGTTCTCAAGTATTATTCATTTTTTTTCAATTGCATGTTTTCATTCGAATGGCTTTTTTTTTTAGACTCACTCAATTTTCCATCGGCGAAGATCGATCTCCCTCGAAGCTTTTCTCTGGAAAAAAGGGGTTAAAGTCCGAATGGCCCTATTTTCTTATATTATTATTCTTTTTGCTAT